CCTCCTCTTCCCACTACACCTCTACAACCACATTTAACCAATTAAAAACATTACTCTTCAAGAGTATTTGCAGCTGAAGGAAGATGTCAGTATAGTTGATAGAAACAACTCCACAGACACAATAGTGTAGAAGGATGGGGAGGAATTGGTCCAGGAGTTGGAGATTCCCATGCAGCCCATGGTGAAACAGGCTTTCCCTTTCCACCAATGGACGTCCACAGTGGATCAGAGATCCATCTGCAGCCCTGTAGGACCCCCCACCAAAGCATATGGGTGTTCAAAAGAGGCTGTGAGCCCATGTCAGTCCCGCACTGGAGCAGGTTCCTGGCAGGACCTGTGGCCCCAAGGAGAGAGGAACTCACAGTGGAGCACATTTGCTGGCAGCACTTGTGGCCCCATGGAGTACCCACGTTGGAGCAGTCTGCTCCTGAAGGTCTACACTCCGTGGAAGGGACCCATGCCGGAGCAACATGTGAGGAATTCCAGCCCATGGGAAGGACTCACATTGGAGAAGTTTATGGAGGACTGTCTCTTGTGAGAGGGGACCCCACACTAGAGCAGAGGAAGACCGTGATGACCCCTCTCCCCTAGTAGGAAGGAGCAATAGAGGCAACATGTAATGAACTGACCACAACTCCCATTCCCCGTCCCCCTGTGCTGCTGTCGGGGAGGAGGTAGATAAAATTGGGATTTAAGTTGAGCCCGGGAAGAAGGAAGGGGTTGGGGTAAGGTGTTTTAAGATTTGATTTTTATTTCTCCTTACCCTTCTCCAATTTGATTAGTAATAAATTAAACTTATCTCCTGAAGTCGAGTCTGTTTTGCCCATGATATTAACTGGTGAGTGATCTCTCCCTGTTCTTATTCTGACCCACATTATATTTTCTTCTCTCCCCTGTCCAGCTGAGGAGCAGGCTGATAGATGGGCTTTGGCGGGCACCTGGCATCCAGCCAGGGTCAAAGCAACAGACCATGTCTCTCCTGGACCCAGAACTACAGATATTTTGTTATTTTGTTTCTCTGAAAACAATCTCATTCATTTCAATTGACAATTCTTCCAAGGATCATGTTTTCATCAGGTAGTTAAAATCTTCAATAAATGCACTCAACTTTGGTTTTTTAATTCAGGATGTGTAGCTGGACAGGGTTTTCCCTGGGAGACCCCTGCACTCACCTTTGACTATCTGACTCTGGCTGTCCCCAAACTCCACATGGAAGACCTGGTACTAACTTGGGCCTTTAATTATGGCATTCATCCAGGGATACTTCTTTGCCAGATCCCTTCTCATTGCTCCATTTCTTCCTCTACAGACACATTACAACACTTAATCCTATGACTTTTCGCAGTTACATACTACCGAACTTTCTCTCCAAGATCCTTACTAGCTATCTGAAAACAAAATTCTTTACCTTTTGCAACCTAGGCTGAGGCTTTGTGTGAATCTGATTGGAAGCTCAGTGTCCCATACACCATTTACATTCTGGATCCAGGTAAGGAAGAAAACCTCATATACTCTTCCCATCCTGCAGCTCACCTGTATTTGTTGCTGTGATGCATATGCAAAGATCTCCACTACGAGCACCTCCAAAACCTGCCAGATGTGCCTCCTGGCTGCCAATTTGTGTACTTGCTGTTCAACCCTACTTCTTGGTATAAGAAAGCATTCACACTGAGGTTTCAACTACTTTTGACAAGATGTCCTATTGCTGCTACAACAATTAAAATTTCTTCACTCAAAAGCACAGAGAACACTTGTTTCTATCTAAAGAATTTGCAGATAGACAAATGCACAATGTAACAGTTGGTCTATATCAATTTATACCACCTAGAGAGACCGTTTGTGGATATTTAAAAAAAACACAGAGTCTAGAACATAAAGATAAGCTCTTGATCACCATTAAATGAATCAACTTGTGCTGGACAAGCGATCAACGCTGAAGATAACTTGTTTAAAATTAAATAAACGAAGCCATTTACTTACCATTGGCAGCCTGGACTGAAGCATCTGGAGATCATCATAACCATAAATCTGCTTAAAGACAAATACAAATACAACATCGTTATAACACCTTTCTCTGACGCTGACCAATTTGGGGCTTTAAACAGAATTTGACCTAGGCCCAGTGTATTTTGAAGGTGTACAGCTATACTTTGCATTATGCCATCATGGCACACCATAGCATTTTAAGGCTAGTGAAGTGAAGATTTTAACAGCTTGTCACTCTGATGTTGCTTCTTGGTGAATAGCAGTCCTCTGAGAAGAGTCTGATCTTCAACACTGTTTTCACAGATGCATCATTCATCAATTTGAGAATAACAGGAATTAAGATTTGATGACTAGACCACAAAGCAACCTATGGTATACCCTTGCATTCAGTGTAATACAGAAAGATTAGCATGAAGTTTCTGATTCAAAAAACAGGTAACCAAAAACATGCTGATCCTGGTCAGACATCAAAAGGCTATGTGCAACCTACCAAAGTATGACAGTCAGGACATATGGCATACTGGAACCATGACGACAGTAAATCTATTCCAGCAACACAAACTTGAATGAGTCTAATTTTACTCAAAGGGGATAAAACCTGATACCACTGAAAGCTACAGCAACATGCATGTTTAGCTTCAACAGCAGCCAATCAGGTCTGTACCAACAGTTCTGCAGTTCACTATCAACAGTAAACCCCCAATGAATATATTTCATATACTCTTCAGCACTTGGACAAAAATTCCAAGAGCAACATGTGCCAACAGAAGTGCCTCGACACAGACAGCAGGGCCCACTTGCACCAAGGGTTACAAATCAAGGACAGGAACCATTAAACTGCTTACTGGGTAGGCAGGCAGAAGTCCTCCAGGTCCCACAATATACTGGTTGTGCAACAAGGGTGGTACGCCTTGGGGCAGGTTTGGGGGTGCTTTGCCTGTAGAATCAAAATACAGACACTTTAACAAGCCTTTAGAAAAGAAAAGGCTTCAGCATTGAGACAAGATAGCTCACAAGCCCTGGTGGCTGCACTGTCATAGCTTGTAAAGAGCAGAACTACAAAGAATAATTTCTTGCTGTTGATGAAAATGCTCAGAACAGCCTGAAGAGTTTAACCATGCCTCAAGGAAGAGAAAGCATATGCTACTTCGACTGATAACAGTCCCATTAGAGAACAGTCTGATTTTGTCCTTTACTTGTCCAAGAGAATTACAAGAATTATAGAACTTCTCCTTTCCTCAGTCCTCTCCTGAAGGCAAAATTTAGGCATTGTTCTCTATCTGAGAGAGCAAATTCTCTCCTTTCATTTTCTACTCTGTCAACACATTTCCCCTTATCACCTGCAATAGATTGGAAAGCACTAAATATGACCAGCATACTTTCTGTGGGCAACTTATTTCAGCTGCAAATAGCAAAGATAAGAAGACTGAAACAGTTTCAGTTGCCTCCATGAAGCAGCGCTAGGAAGCAGAAGAGTAAAAAAACCACACTTTGGCCAGTCATCAGATGCTTCATTTACAAGGCATGGGAACAAGAAATCCTTCTCTAAGTAAGTTTGATCTTAACATTCACTTCCCTACGTAGGATTTCCTTTTGGCAGTTTGGGTTGATTAGAGAAGGGAGAATTTAGCATTGCTTCCACTTCACTGCAAGAAGCCTCTCCACCTTCTCTCTCTGTGGACCCTTTTTCTGAAGTGCTATTTGCTGTGGAATGACGCAGACATCAGATGCTTTCCTGCTTTATGTAGATGTGGCAGTAGGGATGTCGCATATGATAATGAGGACACTGCAGTATATTTTTGATACTGCCAAATGAATTCAAGTCACAGAGAAGACTGAAATTAAAGCTAACGTGAACCCACACTCAAGGGCTGACCACAACCTGGAATACAAACTGGGCGAACCTCCTAGCCCAAAACCTCCAAAGTTAGAAACTGCTCTGGTGGCTCTTTATAAAGCTTTTTGGGTATGGAATGTGCTATATAAATGCCACATAACACCCTAACAAATACTTCAAATACACAAACCCAGGCAACTTTATTTTATGAGCCAACAAATAAAGAATGCTGAAAATGCCACTCAAGAGTGTGGATTTCTTAGTGTAGTCATGGCTAGTGAGATGCTCAACTGACAGCCCTGCTGACTGAAGTCCTCTGTCTATCCATGTGATCTGTGAATATTGCAAACCTGAAGACACTAAGGGAGCTGCCCGTGTGGTAGCAGCTGGTATAGACACACTGGTAACGCTCAGGCCAAGGCTGTTTGTAGTGTTCATACTGCTTGCCATGCTGACAACCGAAGAGGTGGTGCTAGTGGCTGAGGTTGAAGCAGTTGAAAAGGTTGTTGAGGGCTGGAGCGAAGTTGTGTTCTCAACACTAGTGTGCTAGAAAGGAGACAAAAAGAATGAGGATCACAGAGCAAATAAACCACAGCGGAAGATGCTGGCGTGGGGGGGTCAAAAAAACCCCAACAATCTTTTCAGTAACAGCAGCACATGCAAAAGATACGCATTATCTATATACCAAGCAAGCAACTAGGTTGCATGCTTGTGATTTTTAAGCATTCAAAGGAAATTACTATATGACAGCTAAATTCAAACTGCTGTATCATCAAATAATTATACCACAGTAACTGAAACGTCACTCCATTGCATTATTTCATGCCCTTTGCTTGTATACTCCTTTAAACTAGCACTTGTTATGTTAAATAAACTCCTACACTCTTCCAAAAGACACTATTTGCTTTCAAAATAGAGGACACTGCTATCGTGATTTCCTCAGGGCACTTGTGGAATTTAAAAGACTAAAACTGCAGTGCCCCACAACAGAGTCAATGTGGTAAACTCAAACATAAATCAGAAGTATTACAGGAACACATAAGGATAAAGGAGTTCCTGGTTTGAATCCAGCACAATACAGTGCCTTAGCTGTAAGCTGATCACACTTGCAAAACTGAGCCATCACACACAGATGGCAAAACAACAGAAAAGACGGACATTTGAATAAGTGTGACTTTTTACGCTACATATTCAGTAGGGATGGAGCATTACAAACCAAAATACAAGCAGAAAGAACAGCAGTAACCTATCCACACACCCCAAGTACCTCATCACAGAACATGGCAGTGTCCCTCTGACTTTCATTTGTGCAACCTCATCTACAGTACTGCGTTCACTACCATTTGTCTTATTATCTCAAATGCATTAAATACACCGGTGACAACAATGTCACATGGTAAACTCTAAAATCATCTGTCATGAGCCATTTGTCATGACATGCATCATTCCACCACCTGCACTTCACCAGCTAACCCCTCTAGCAGAGACTGCTACCAGTCCATGTTTTGGAGCAGTTTCAGACAGACAAGTCTAAAGATTTTAATTTTTTTAAATACATTTGTTATAAAAAATTCTTTCTTTATTCCATCCCCCCTTGCTGGTGCGAAAATTTTCTCTGCAGTTGTGCGATTGGCAAGTCTCCGGAACAGCTATTCCTGATCTAGTACAAAACACAAGCGGTAAAGACGTTTTATACCACTAGAGGGCTGGCAGTCCTTCTGCCCTGAGATAAGCCTCTCGTTTCGGTTCTTAGTGTATGGGGACACAATCAACTGTGAGACAGGGTCTTAATCATCAGATAAACCGACTACATGCCAAACATCTGTTGAAATGCAAGTACGACTTACTGCATGTGATGTGCTTGAAGACAACACTGAGGCAGGGGAGAGGCTGCTCTGATGACTGGAAAGGGAGCTAGAAAGAAATTGCAAAGAATTAATAAAATTAATTTTTACTAGTACTATTTTTAGTACTATTACTACTTTTGTGTGTATATATGTGTGTATATATATACACAAACACAAAGAAGTTAGTAGGATATTAGTTAAAGAATAAAAATTGTAGGTGTGTGTACACACATACACACAGAGTACAATATTACAAAGAAAATTGTCTGTAGGGGCATGTGTGTGTATATATATACACACATACATCTATGTGTGTATATATACACAACCCCCTACAAGCATTTTTTCCTTTAACCAATGCCCTATTACCTTTTAATGAAAAAAAAAAAAATGAAGGACGGAACAACTATACTAACAAGAAACACCTAAAACATCATCATTTGTATTTATCAATGTACTATTTTTCTAGAAAAACAATAGCTGCTTCAGGAATTATGTAACAATGGCTCCAAGACAAAAGTCCAAAACCAGAAGGTTCACACAACACATGGCTTGTTTCTCATCCTTTCCCTGAGCAACTGCTGCTGCCTGCCATGAAGCATAGGTATTAATTGAGGCAGTGCTTTGGTCTGACTCTGCTATTTCTCATATTTTAACCTGCAGAACACTAGTTCAACCAATTAGAACTGCGGGGTATTTGCCCCATAACTCTGCCAAAAGCCCCAACACACTCTCAGAAGACAGGGCCCAAAAAAGCCAGCAAATGAAGAGCATCAGTGAAACGCCAAAAATGAGCCACACTACTACAGAATCTGGCAACTTAATGAAGGCCGGTTCATGCCACTACGTCCCACCAAAAGCCATTTCCTCTTTGAAAAGATGCATCAGAACTGCCCGTTCAGTTTTATACATACATTGTAAAATATGAAAATAAAGAATCCCATGCTGAAAAACATCTGCAGATACCTTCATTTTAGGAAGCAACTCTGCTTTAGCACTACCCTTCTTCCCTAGCTGACTGGGCCTGTGAACTTTTGGTAGTAACAGCAGCACTGTCGTTGATTTGTTATCTAAAGATCTTTGAATGTCTCCCTGAAAGGTGACTGAAACGGATTCTTAAACATTTCACTGACAAGAGTTATACCTTACATTCGAGGTCAGGAACATACCTTACAGTACAGTATGGAATAAACAGAATGAACAAAGGCAAAAAAACCCAAGGCCATAAAAAATATGTATGGTTTGGTGGTCAAAAAGCCCCTCTTCATTTGGAATCAGAAGCAAGAGAGATCTTAACCATAACAAATATTTTAGTATTCTCTATAGAAATAGCCGCAAGAAAACACAGCAGTTTTCATAACAAAGCTGCAGGCTAAATTATATGCCCTAATTTAAGGGCAAACACTTCTGGCAGCTCTTCAAGGTGTGGGAGCAGAATAAATCTTGGCTGTTTCATAGATTAATTTTACTTCGATTCTTTTAAACTGTTCCCCATCTCCAGGAATTACAATGACACCACTTCAGGCAGCAAGGAAAGAAATAGCTCAGTCCAACATACAGTTTTAAACCACTCCCTTGCCCACCCTCCCCAGCTCTTCCAATATGCCTTAATTCACCACACGACCTATGGCAGAGACACAGACAAGAGCTGACAGCACAACCAAGTCAGACATGCTTGGAATTCAGGCATCTTCTCTTCATGGCACTTGGTATCTGCCCAACAGCATCAACTCTCCAACTAAAATGTCTACCATGTACACAGCTTTTCCACAAACAAATGTGGGAAGATGAGGTTTCTAATACGAATGGAATCATTCTTGTTGTTCGACATAGTTATCACTTTATTCAACAGAGAACACTAGTGTATTAAAAGAGAATCAACCATGTCCTAGCTGTAAAACAGGACAAAAACTCCTGATATCCCATCAAAATAGTTTCTTACATTACAAATACAGTACAAAAGGTGAGCACTAAAAATATAACATAACCAGTACAGCCTCAGGACGTCACCTGCCTGAGGATGAAGCTCAAGTAACAGGCACTGAGATAATCACACAGATAGCGCAAACGAGCTCAACTGTGCTGAATGCAGTTCCAGGAACACCAATGTGGTATTTCAAAGTGTCTTAAAGACATGTCTTAGAAAAAAGAAAAAACACACACTTTCCCTGTGGTATTATTTGTGGGTTTTAATTTTAAGAAGTACAAATATAAATAAAACCACTTTATTTCAAAGTTAGCCGGGAAGTAAACTGTTAAGGGAATGATTTCAAACATATGACACTAAACAAACAGCAGGCACTGCGGACAAAGTAGGAGAAACAAACTAGGTCAATCAATTTAGCTGGCATGATTGAACCAAGCGCCCCCTGAGACACAAAGTTGTTCATGCACCACAAAAACTTGAGGGCAGCAGTTGCTCTATCATTAAGTAGCAGCCCAGAGCTCATACTTTGCAACCAGAAACAGTTAATGTCAGAAAAGGAGACCCTGGCGTTTGACAGCCCCCCCATACACAATCACCCTTTTCTTTGCCCTTTGCCTAAAACTGAAACCCTTTCGGCTCATCACAACTCCTACTTACCTGCTTAACTGGGAAAGTGAGCTGCTGGCCAAATCACTGGACTGAGGCAAGCTGGGCAATGTTACTGTGTGCTGCGATGCTGAAGGCAGAAGTGAAGCAGTGGTGGATACCACGCTAGGCAGAGAACCAGCAGAAGGTAGTGAGGGAGAAGGCTCTGTCTTAGGCGCTGGAACTGACGAAGTAGCTGCAACAAGTGAAAGAGAGGCATTCAAAGACAAATTCCAGCATACCTGACATCTCAGCCTGGATTCAGTAACACAGTAGTAGTCTCCCCTTGGTTTACAAAAACCTAACCATTAGGAACCAGTAACAGTATCAAGCAGTGTGGCTATTAAGGAAAATTCAAACAGCAACAGAACTACCATTTTTTCCCTTTAAGCTCTTCACATACAATAGATTATTCTCTGCTACACGCATAGTAAACTACAATCTTCTGCACTTCACCTCACACTATCTGGATTACTAGTTTTTGCTTACACGTCAATTCTCATTTTAAAATTCCTTGCATTTGATTCCACAAACACAAGTCATTTGCGCTTTTCATGGTATTGTACAAATCTACTTTTACCTACAGCTCTGCTTATTCATTCCAATCTACACAGCACCTTTGATGATCAAGACTGAGATTGCTGGATACAAGGGCACATACAACTTATCAGTTTGGAGTACTCAGTCAAATGTGTAATGCAGTAGAATAAAAGAAGCTACAACAAAAGGCCACAATTGAGCACAGCACTAAGCATTTTTAATGGCTAAACAGTCGTCAAATTGTGATTTACTTTATTTGACCTAGGTAACAAGTAGTGTTTAAGCCTTAATATTACTTTCTAGGCTACACAAAGTAAAAATTGTTTACCACAGAAGTGCCTTTGCAAAGGATCACTATACTGTAATAAGACACTGAACAACTCTACTGCCCAACATAATTTCCAGCTCTTTCTAAACTTATCTCTTTTATAATAAAAAGAACTAGAGGCACTCACCCACCGATAAAACTCGGAGAGAGAGTTGAGCCCTTCCTTTCTGCGGGGCCATGCTTCCCTGCCACACCAGAGACTGCTACCTAGTGGATCATCACTAACTTGCAACACATGTGAAGACAGTTTTAGAACGGTCACCAAACAAAAGTCAGATACACACTTGGAAGTTACACACAACAGTTTATCCGCATCATTGGTTTGGTTTCCTTGCCAAATGACCCATGTCAGGTTGCTGGATTGGGTGCTATGCAAACAGAAGTCAAGTATGAGGGTAACTGACAACAGGGAAGGAAATTCGAGTGACAAATAGTTATGATGGCAGTGACTATATCACCTGACACCACCTGGCAAGATTCATATAAAAATAAGTAACATTCAGTGCAGGGTTCCCTTCTTGAAGTAAAAGTGGATGTCCTCAATACAAGAGAGAGAATCACCATCTTCATTAAGACCCTTTACAAGATTCCTGAACACAATGTGCAAGTCAAAGAAAACCAGGAGACAAGTAGGATGATCAGAATTCTAACACATCAGTCATGCTTTGAACTAAGGGTTTAGAAAGCATGAGATCTGGATAGTAAATGGTAACAACAGCAAAGATGAGAGATGAACAACTAAGAATATTATCAGTACATACAGAAGGGAAAAGGTCAGTACTTTCAAAAGTTAAGAGAGAATTTTAAAATTGTTTGGATGCACAAAATAGATCCATGGAAGAAGGCTGATTCCCATTTATGTGCTTGAGACAGAGAAAACATCAAAAGTGTTCTCAAAAGACAACTGGCATAGAAAAAGGGACTAATAAAGATGTTATAGAATAATTACAGAGATCCTAGGAATTCTCAGATCTTTGTTTTTCATAGCAAAAAGACATGCCCTGTAGTGAATTTCATGAGCTGTTTATTAATTCCGTACATGATAGTAAGAAAGTTTTCCACTTGAAAGTTGTCTTTACATATAACAGTCTTTTAAGTGGTAACTTTTTGGGTAACTCCTCCTGCTCACTTAAATTGAACCTGGCACTAACAAAGCACTGCTTACAGGTCTGAATATTCAACTTCTTTCTACTCTGAAGTATTAAAAAAAAAAAAAAAGGCTACCTCACTCATGACTTACCTGCAGAGATGTTTAAGAGGAAAACAGACCTAAAATTGAAGTGTTGGAATTCCAAAAGATGTTAACTGACACTGCTGCCCTTGAAAACTTCCACAGAGCAGCGCATAAAGGTCAGAAGAGAGAATACTGCACTTTAACTATTTTATGTCCAGGAAGAGAGCTGTAGGGGAGCTGAAAGTAAAATACCACATTCGAACCAGGCCAAGATGGAGATAACAGTAACACCTGTATCAGAGCCAGTACTGTGCTGTTACTCCACTGCACGGCAGCGAGCTACCCGGCAGAGGGAGCACGTCAGTCACTCTTACTCCCCACGGGCTTGTAACGGGGCACAAATAGCACTGTACCCAGCGAAACGGGCATTCAAGGAATGTGACTTGGTTTTATTACAGCTAAAAGCCAGTAGCAGCTTCCCAACTAAGAATTGGAAGACTTACGTTGATACCAATTTTTAATTTTGTATGTTATTTTAATTTTATATTAAATAATTTGGGGCAGGTAAATTGAAAAGGAAAAGCAGCAGCAAAGCAGCTTCTCTAATTAAGACTGCTTAGTTTTGTAGCTTTAACAGGGCTCCTTTCATAGTTCAGTTTTAGACTAGAAACAAGCAGCGTATCTTATGCAAGTACAAAAACTCAAATGGGTCAACTAAAAATTAGTCAGGGAGAACAATATAAAACCTTAAACCAGATGTTACTGCTACAGCTGGGCACACAGCAAGTAGGAAGGAAAGATCAGAAAGTCCTGTGCACAACCAAGCTTTGTGAACTTACTGTCAAGAGTTGCCTGTGTCCTAATACCACTGTGCCCGTTCTGTAAACAAAGGAGAAATTAATCAATGAATCATCTTAGAGGTGTACTAAATTTTCAGACTGAATCACATATCGAACATGCTTCATGCAAAATGCTATAGTCATTCTAAATTGAAAGACAAAAAAAGGCAGAAAATTAACTTTTTACTGCCTTTAACAAAACCACGTTATAGTTGCCTCAAGTGCAAGGTGTCCTGAACATACAGAATCCCATACACTGCCCATACTACACCCATCAGCAGGAGACCTTCCCATGTACTGCATATAACATAAACTTCAGGTTCACACCAATATGAAAGAAAGAATTGCATTAACATATAGGAAATGGTTGTGCTTTTGATCTAATGTAACTCACAATTTTAACTATCCAAGTTACACAGAGACGCCAATTTTTTTCCATTGAAAGATAAGACTTGAGAAGCACCAGTTCTTTTTTGGATAACGCTGGAGTACAGAAGTGGATAGTCTATGCTTGATCCTCACCAGTACATACGAGCTAGTGCAGAAGACAAGTGTGACTGAGCCATTGCATAACAAAGGCCAGAAGTAAATAAACTTACAAACTTTCACAAGTTCCTTAAACATTTAATAAATTAAGTTCTCTTAAAACAAACCTACATTCCATATACAAAGAGAGTAGGTGCTTTTGAATCTCCCAAGAGAGATCCCCTCTGTCCCAGATCAGACGTCTCCCTATGCTTTTTAAAATAAAACATAAAACTAATTCCCACTGGTGTTTAAATCCAACAGAAGAGTAATGCTGGAGGGGCCAAAACAGTTTGGGATTCATTCACCAGGTGTCATATAAACTTAATAAATATACCTTTGGATAAAAACTGTCAAGTTACAGCAAAATACCGTGACTAATATTTACATACAGAGACAGTTCCTTTTTTAAAACCTAAGCTTCAGGGAAGGAAGCTCAAGTAGAACGTTAAGTGTTACTGATGAAAAAGGTCCAACAGAAATTTTAGATATCAAAGCCCACAAAGTCAGAGGCTCTTATACCCCAAATACAGTGTGGACAAAAATGGCTACACAACAGGAAAAGGAAAAACATGTAACAGGGTGGGCTGGTAATCAAAAATACCACTTGGCTTGGTTAAAAGAATTAACATAGCAGGGAATTAGAAGTCTAGTATGGGTAAGAGTATTTCACCTTTTTCAAGGTCTTATTTCTGAAATTCACTCACCGTAACTGCAACAGGGGTTGATTCAGACGGAGCCATGGAGCTTTGGTACGCTATCCTACTATGCACAGAAGTCTGGTCATAAGAGGAAGTTGTTGTTACTGGGCTAGTGCTCTGGGATGAGCATGTCAGACTGGAAGAGGTGATGGCAGAGGTTGTGTAGGTGGACTCCTGTACTGTATTGGATATTGGCAAAGAGGTATTCAAAGGATCACTGGAAAAAGTAAAAATTATTTATCATCTTGGTAAAAGCCATCTCAACGACCTTCCTGAAAGTATCAGACCCTATACAGTTATCTAGAACTACCTGAAACATGCAGTCAAAACAATATTATTTATACCAGGAAATCTGATCATGAAAAAAATATATATCATTTCACTTTGGTCCCCAGTAATCTCTGCTTCAAACGCATCAGCTGCACTAAGTACCATTCACCTTCCTCCTGCCAGGCCAACCAAAACAAGAATTTACACACAAGCACTTTTCAGTCATGTTATTTCTACCTTCTCAAAGGATACACTAATGATCATAATCTTTCTCTTTTAAACAACTAGATCCATGAAGTCTGGTATATAATGAGAAACAGTCTTTTTTTTTTTTTTTTAGAATTTCCAGAATTCTAACATTACAGCAGCGGTCCAACAGAATGAACTATGTGAAGAGGAAAAATACAACATGCACGAGTGTTTTACTTTCTGTATAGCTTAAGTAATTTCTAGAACTAGAAATGAATGTGAAAGTTCATTTTTACTAGCATTTCTGAATTAACTTCAGGAAGCTTTTTACTGAAGCCAACTTTTGAATTAACAAGGAAGAAAAAAAAAATGGGTTAGTGGTACATTGACATTTATCATTGGCTATTGTAGCATTTCAGTAAAAGCTTCTGCATACTGAAAGCCTGGCTTCTTTTCTCATGCCATAGGAGCATCAGATCTGTAATCTGGTGCCAATCTACTAACACACATATACAGCACAACGGTCATCTCTCCTGGATCAAAAGCAGAAAAATTCATGTTGTAAGGAACAAACCCTCAAACAAATCTGAAAATTAGGATGATCAAACAAGAGAAAGCAATTCTAAAAAGTGTAGCTTATAGGTTATTCACATTCACGTCATCTCCAGCTCCTCATCAACCCATTCACGGAGATTTTGATTGTCATTAGAAAATAAATTTCTCCTTTAAGATGCCATCCACAGAAAACACTTAGACTTACAAGTCATCATATTTCACCCTCCCATTACACAGTAACTGTGCCTTGATGTTTTTGGCACCAACTTGACTCGCTAAAGATGACATGTAAGAATGCACAAGGGGAACTCACACGTACTTTACAGATTTTGAATACAAGCTATTGTTGGTCGCCTGGCTGGTATTCTCACTGCTTGAAATTGATCCAAACTCTGGGAGTGCAGGCTCCGATCCAAACTCCAGAGCTCCAAACTGAACATTTAACCCTGTCACATCCGCTGATCCAGGCATCTCCACTGCAGAGGCAGGAATCTTAAAGGAGGAAAAAAAAAAGCCACAATTCCTTTGCATGCACCACCTGTACTGAAGATACCAGTAACTGACACTCTCTCCTCCCTTAAGTACAGGCTTCTTCAGTTACTGCCTCAGCCTTTGCTGCTAACTAGGTCTGTGACAGCCCCCCAGTTTCCATCACATAAATTAACTACATCCTTGTAACCTGAAATTAATTCATTGATTCTATGCCCTGACCTGGAGCTGAGAGAGTAAGTCATACTATTCTACAATAGCAAAGTGTCATCCGCGTCCATCCCCCTTCAGCCAACATTCATCTTGTGGCTGCAATCCAAAATCACTCAGGAACAGTCATTTTCCACACAGAGCAGTCAGATATGTGCTTGGAAGAGGTAACATCACTGTATTTTGGACCTAAAAAACTATCCAGCTTGGAATTTCCTGCTTTATAAACAAGAAATATACCACAGACCTTCCCCTCCTTCTCCCTAGCAACTTATATAAGGAACAGAATCATAGAATCATTTCGGTTGGAAAAGTCCTTTAAGATCATAGAGTCTAGCCATTAACCTAGCACTGTCAAGCCCACCACTAAACCATGACCTTAAGCACCACATCTACACGTCTTTTGACACTCTCAAGGGA